GCGATATTTAAATGTGCCGAAATTGGAATACAATTACACCTCTTATCAAACGTATGATCAGAGTATCTGCGGACAGTTGTGCTTGCAGTTTCTCCGAGATTTCTCGCCGCAAATTTAAAGACTGACATTGCGTTATTTAACTCAGTTTTGTCAACATGTCGCTAACACTAACATTGACTGGGAAGAGTAGCGTCCTCGCGGCGACCTACTTTCCGCCCATAGATTTGAGCGACGCGGACTACGAGCTCGGTCTGACGGATTTTGAAACTTATCACACTATATCGAATGTGAATTCCTCGAATAATAAATTTTACTACGGCACAGACGACGCGGAAATTACGATTCCCGAGGGATCGTACGAGCTGCAAGCGATACATGAATTTTTGAAACGTGCACTTTCCCGAAAACATAATGCTGTTAGCGATAAAGGTGTCGACGATGAAGATTATCCAATCGTGCTCCGCGCTAATTACAATACGATGAGAAGCGAGATCAAGTGTGCCTACAGAATAAACTTTAGCATGCCCAACAACATTGGATCGCTGCTGGGATTCTCGAATCGTATACTGCAACCGCGAAAATGGCACAAATCGAACATGGCGATTAATATTATCAACGTGAACATTATCCGCATAGAGTGTAACGTGACCGCGGGTGCATACAGCAACAATAAACTCGTTCACACGATACACGAATTTTCACCGAGGGTACCACCAGGATATAAGATATCGGAAACGCCGGCGCAGATCATTTACCTGCCGATCTTCGTACGGAGCATTACTGATTTAGTGTTACGCGTTACTGACCAGGAGGGACGATTGCTCGATTTTCGCGGTGAAGAGATAACAATTAGATTGCACGTACGACGGCGGGCCACCCTCGTGCGACGGGATGCTCGTGTTGAATAAAGACACGAAGAACACAATCAGACCAGCAGCAACATCATTCGCTAATATCAAATCAACTACGAAGAAGAGACTCACCTCGTCAAACGTTGCGTTTTTACAATCTTTGGGATTTGCGGTGCGCACCATCTGAACAATGACTGAGATTCTCAACATCGAGGAAGAGCCAGTCTTTGACGATCGCATCGTCAAGATTGAGACTCACACATACAACCCGTTTGCCAACACAACATTTGGATACAGCGACGAGATAAGAATACCCATACAACAACAGGATTTATATACATTGCCGTATGAGAGTTTCTTATATATCGAGGGAGAACTAAAGATAAACCATCCAATTGAGGGATCCAATGTGACACTGGGAAATAATTGTGTCGCATTCATGTTTGACGAAATTCGCTATGAGCTCGATGGTGTGGAGATTGATCGCAACAGAAATGTAGGAATAACAAGTTTGCTCAAAAACTATGTAACGATATCATTCGATAGAAGCATGGTTATGAGTAACGCTGGCTGGAGTGATCCGATTTCTGCGAGTGGGCACTTCAATTTCTGCGTACCGCTCTACATGTTGCTGGGATTTTGTGATGACTACAAACGAGTAGTGATTAATGCGCGTCATGAGTTGATCTTAATACGATCGCGCAACGACAATAATTGCCTGTATGGAGATTCTGCACTGGAGCCTGTGATCAACATATTCAAGATACAATGGCGAATGCCACACGTGTTGTTGAGCGAGATTAAGAAGCTGTCGATGCTGCGCGCTCTGGAAAGCGGACGTTACCTCAGCATGGGTTTCCGCTCGTGGGATCTATACGAATTTCCGCTATTGCAGCGTACGACCAAGCATTCGTGGGCCATTAAGACCGCGACTCAACTGGAGAAGCCGCGATATGTAATTTTTGCTCTGCAGACAGGGCGTAAAAATGTCATGTCCGAGGATATCAGTCGATTCGACGACTGTAAATTAACCAACGTGAAACTCTTTCTGAACTCGGAAAGTTATCCGTACGACGACATGAATCTGGATTTTGATAAAAACAGATGGTCAATTCTGTACGACACCTACACACGTTTCTGCAAGAACTATTACGGATACGAATACCTCGAGCCCAATCTCACCATCACACGGTTTTTACAAAACGGTCCGTTTGTGATTATCGATTGTTCTCGACAAAACGAATCGATCAAGAGCGCAACGGTGGATGTGAGATTGGAATTTGAGTGTAAGGAAAACGTGCCTAATAATACCACTGCGTACTGCCTCATTATACACGATCGTGTGATCCAGTACAACCCGTTGACCAACGTTGTGCGCAAAATCACCTAAAAAATGTTTACACAAATACGCGTGTGAAAGAGGGGGAGGAGGAGGATACATAATCAAGATGATGTGAGATGTTTGATGTTAGTGAAGTAATACCTCTCGACTGACTCGCATCGAAGAGATCATGTCCGCACCAACGTTTGTCGACCTGCAAGGATTTATACTAAACAAACGATTTATCGTAAAGGAAGCGGCAATCCTGAGAAGAGGATATATCCTGTCGCACTATTTCTTCGCATGCCCTGTGCCATGGAGCGTGCTTATAAAGTCGGAAAGGCGTCAGGCCTCGTGGCTAACTCAACATCATCACAGCTTACAATGGGAGGATGGAAATGTTCCATACGGCATGGCTCAGCGCTTGATTACGGCAGCTATCGTTGGCATAAATGAGCAAGAAGACGATGAAGAGTCCTCTCTCGTGTATGTAAAAGGACTCGAAAAGCGAGAATGGCTGGCCGAAATAATGGACGATGCGAGCAGCGGTTTCACCATTGAGACCTTGGATGCCATATATGAAGATGTACCTGCATTAAATAAGTTAGATCCCACATATACTCTACGATGTAATAAACATGTAAAAAATTGTGCGTTACAAAATGTATTTAAATTATTCAATTGGTGGTCGGCCGCAAAATCCAGGCTTGGATCCGACGATCATCCGTTTTTTTGAATAAACATATTGTTTACATACTATTTTCTTTGTTATTTCTCTCCCTCACCAGATATATATTTCTAAGAAATCCTTTCTCCTAATATTTTTAAATATTTCTCTTTGTTCCCCTCCAGATATATAATTCTAAGAATTCCTTTCTCCTAATATTTAATTTTTTATCCCCACTACTTTTAAATATTTCTCTTTATTCCCCCTCCAGATATATATTTCTAGGAATCCCCTTCTCCTAATATTTTAAAAATGAGTGTTACTCGATTATTAGTACTTTTGTACGATCAGTCTCTCGTCGACTGTTCTGACTGGTGGTTCACTTTTTAATACCCTCGAGAAAAATATTCTGCACCAAAAAAGCAGCAGCATGAATTACTACATGCCGAGACGCGATGAAACGTGCGAGAAGAAATGCGACGAGTAAGTATAACTTTTTCTATTTTATATATTTTATATTTTTTCTATTTTTATATTTTTTTATGAGTTATAATTTCTTTTTTTCCTAATTTAGTTTTAATTTTTTTTTCCTAATTTTTTTACAGCGTTTCGCTGGAGTCTCGTGCGGTTCGTATACTTGGAAGACGATACGCATTGACGACCACGGAATTCAAATTCCTCGAAATCGGCATCAGAGTGGATCCGCCGAGTTACGTGGAGATCGCCATAGGAGATCATCGGGGAAAACAGCTAATACTATCTCTCGAAACGTGGAAAGGACTCTACGAGCAACGTCACACTATTCAAAATTATTTGAACAATGACTCTCTCAACAACGATGTGTATAACTTCATAAGTGTCGGGCCGCTAACAGTACGTTTTCACAAGATAAACGACACCAAGCTCATAAGTCTCGAATCGGCGGACGTGCGCATGATGATGGTCGAATCGACGTTACGTCGTATGTTCGAGCTCGATTCATGCATCGAAATAATGTTCGATCGATTGACGAGGCTCATCGCAACGGTCGATATCAAACATACGCAATTCTCCAATATTGCATCCACTGTAACGAATGCGAGAGAATTGCCGAATGCGATACGCGCTAGCAACGCCTTCGACATGCACCAACTTGTCGATTGCGAGCTGGTGGCTTTAGTTTTTAATATGTAATAAAACTTTATATAATTATGTATTAAATATAAGACAAATAAATACTTATATGTATATCATGGTGTACTTTATTTGCGCGCCACCCGTTACATACTTTGCGAGAGAGCAACCACTAGAAAAGAAAGAGACAGCGCGCGAGAGAGAGAGATTCGGCGGCTCGCGGCGAGAGAGAGACGGCGAATTAAGACGCGAGAGAGAGAAAGAAGACGGGCTGCAGCGAGAGACGTACGCGAGAGAGAAAAAGAGACATACGAGTTTTGAGAGAGACGTCGAAATAAGACGCGAGAGAAATGTGAAGGAGAGAGAGAGAGAAAAAGAGACATATGAGTTTTGAGAGAGACGGCAAAATAAGACGCGAGAGAGAGAAAGAAGACGGGCTGCAGCGAGAGACGTACGCGAGAGAGAGAAAGAAGACGGGCTGCAGCGAGAGACGTACGCGAGAGAGAGAAAGAAGACGGGCTGCAGCGAGAGACGTACGCGAGAGAGAGAAAAAGAGACATACGAGTTTTGAGAGAGACGGCGAAAGAGAGAGAGAGAGAGAGCTTTTAAAATAATTTTTAATAATTTCTTTATATTTTCCTAATATTTAAAAGGGAACAAGAGGTAAGGAAGACATTTTAATCTAAAATAAATACACTCATTTGATAATAATATTTTTTTTAATCTATAAAATATGTGTACATTTACATTTTTGTGTGTGTGTGTGTGTGTAAAATTAAAAATGAAAAAATATAAAAATAAAAAATTAAAAAATAGAAAAATAGAAAATAGAAAAATATAAAATATAAAATATATAAAAATAAGGATATAAATGAAAAATAAAAAAATAAAATAGTTTACATTATGGACGATTGGGGTGGCGACGGTGACGGCGGCGGTGATTGCGGCGGTGATTGCGGCGGTGACGGCGGCGGTGACGGCGACGGCGTGGCGGCGGTGTAGGCTGAGGCCTAACATCGTACGGGTCTGGTAGAGTGAAAAGCTGCACCAGACCCCAATCAGCTTCGTCGTCGCCTCTTAAATATGCGTCCCAATCCGACATCTCTGGAACCATTATTGGAACGTATGGTTCATCTGTAAACATAACAATTATTAATTTAAAAATATAACAATTATTAATTTAAATATATAATACAATATTATAAATTTTATTCTTACCGTCCCAATTTTCATACACAGGTACAGGTTCCGGCTCGAACAGCCACACCAGACCCCAATCATAGAAATCGCCGTCATCGTCTCTTATATATGGATCCCAATCCCAATCACACATATCTGGAACCATTATTGAAATGTAAACATAACATTATTCATTTAAAAATATAATACAATATTATAAATTTTATTCTTACCGTCCCATTCGTCATCCCCTATCCATTCTTCAAAGTCGTCATCTGAATAATTTTCCCATTCTGCATCCCTTAATATATCATAAACGAGGTCCTTGATCACCCAACAACAACAAATAATACAGAGGGCAAACTACAAAAAAAAATATTAATATTAATATATTTTTTCCTCCACTATTAATTAATATTTTTGCACTTAAAAAGCACTACCATTTTCGTTGCAATGTCCCGACACTTCGTTGAGGACCGTTCGAAACTTTATGATTGCAGAGACAGCCCTGCTCTCCACAGGCTGTACCCCACTTAAAAAATCTTCACAAAGAACTATATCTATTTCAAAAAACATTCCAAGTGTCGAATGTTTACATCTCACGTTCGAGAGAGCCGGCGGGTCGCATCCATGCGAGGGACACGTGGAGAGGCGCGCGCTCTTCCATGCATATGCGAGAGAGAAAACGAGCCGCAGCGGCGACAGCGCGAGAGAGAGACGGCAAAATAAGACGCGAGAGAGAGAAAAAGAGACATACGAGTTTTGAGAGAGACGGCGAAATAAGATGCGAGAGAGACGCGAAGGAGAGAGAGCTTTTAAAGATAATTTTTAATAATTTCTTTATATTTTCCTAATATTTAAAAGGGAACAAGAGGTAAGGAGGACATTTTAATCTAAAATAAATACACTCATTTGATAATAATATTTTTTTTAATCTATAAAATATGTGTAAATTTACAAAATTTGTGTGTGTGTGTGTGTGTGTAATTATTTATAATATAAAATTTATAAAATTATAAAAAGATACAAATATAAAAAAGATATATGAAATCAAAATTATATAAAATAAACATATAAATAATATATAAAATTATATAAAATTATATAAAATATATATATAAAAAAAGGCCGTCGGAGGCGAGAGAAATTCGGCTCGGGCCTGCGGCGAGAGAGAGCCGGCGGCTCGAGGTAGCGGCGAGAGAGAGCCAGCGGGCCTGCTGCGACTGCGAGAGAGGGGGTCGCGTTAACCATCGCTGTCAGACTGTACCTCGGCATCTGCACATAGAAATATAATAAATTATTATACTATTTTATAGATTTTTTGGTATTTTAATATATATATACTTACAGCCTTGACAGATTGGGCACAAGTTGGCCAGGAAGAGTACGAACACTCTTTCTAAACAATCAATGCAATAAAGATGCGGTACATCCCTGTACCGCATCGTCACGTGCCTGTGCGTTAGTGTAGTTGCTGCGAATCTTTCCCTGTTTCTCATGAAACAGGGAATGCAGATTTTCACTGACCCTCCTGGTGAGACGTATGCTGTTATAACGCATACCCATGTATCTTCGTCGAGGGATGCAACTGCTCGTACATCTAACGTACGCGAGTGGCACGACTCCCGAACAGCGTTTTCGCTTTCGTACCCATCGTCATGCAAATCTTCTTCCTCCTCTTCTTCTTCTGCTTCTTCTTGCTCAACAATGGGTATGACATCACCCTCCATTTCTTCTATATCATCTAAGATGATATTCACCTCCCTGTCGTACACAGGGTCGTACATCTCGGCGTCGCTCTCGCTGTCGCTGTCGGAGATCGTGATGACCTCCATCTCGTCATCAGAAACGTTGATCGCAATGTCTTTTTCCATTTTTTTTTCAACACGCGTTTGCACAATTATGATACAAGTCAATGAATTTTTTCCGCACTTCCGTAAATAAGTATAGCCACTAGACTTTTTTCACGGACTGGTCAGGGTGCTGTCAAATCCTAGACTGGATGATTTTTGAGAGCGCATAGGTCCTCAATATATATATTTCGTTCAGCCCTTTGTGCTTCACATGCGATCGAACTTATCTCAGAAAGAAAGATGATCGGTCGTAAAAGAGCAGCCGCTGCAGCAGTTGATTATTGTTTTGTTTACACCTCGTGAAAATATGTCTTGACACATTTACTACAATCCTCTCTTTCACGCGTGATAAAACTTATCTCATAAACACTGCTATACTCTTCGCATATATTGTACACCTATTTTATCACAGAAAAGATAAATAGGCTGCCGACAAGAAATCTGGCGATGATGACGATGACGACGATGGCGGTGGTGACGGTTCTCTCCTATCTGACTCCTCTATTTCTTGGTCCGAATCATAATCAGATGATTGTGTTTTGCATGATACCGATGGTGAAGGCATATCCATGTCGGCAAAATAAAGGTTGTCCACAGTAAAATATTCTGCGCAATTTTTGTAGCGACGCTGATAACATGCGACTCGCTTGTGTCGTTTAGACGATCTGGTGCATTTGGATAACCCACCAGTCACTCTTAAAATGTCTTCGTGAATTTCCAGGAAATAGGCAACATCACTTGTATGCGGTTTTTGCACACCAAGTTCGCGATTTCTTACGAATTGCACAACTGAAGTCACCGCTTCACGTTTAAAATCAAACGGGTCATCTTTTTTTTCATCATAATAGCATTCATCGAGATGTCTATACCATCTCTCGGCAGTCTTATTTCTCATGACACTCTGCATGATTTTGCGGTGCGCTCTCCATTTTGTAAAAATTCACTTGTACTGCACAGAAATAACTACTTTAATTGCACACTAAACTTTTTTTCTCACAGCTATTTTTCCTTGAGGAAAGCGTGCGCTCGCCAGTGGTACTATGGCCCGGCAGCGGCATCGGTCCTCGTTATATATCCCGGCCGGCCCTTCTTCTCCAACCTCTGCATGCGCTCTCCTTCACTTGTACTGCACAGAAATAACTACTTTAATTGCACACTAAACTTTTTTTCTCACAGCTATTTTTCCTTGAGGAAAGCGTGCGCTCGCCAGTGGTACTATGGCCCGGCAGCGGCATCGGTCCTCGTTATATATCCCAATCAACCCTTTGTTCGTCAACGTACGAACGAGAAAAATTTAGATGACGTAAATTTTCGGCGCTTGTTTTGTTTATAAATTCCTGCAGCCGCTGGTTATCGGCGCTGGTATTTCTTAGAAATATACGTATAGATCATGTATCAACCCCCTTGATTGTCGGCGTATGCCAAGCGGTGGCCCTTCTTAAAATTTGATTATCTTAGATTTTCAGAGAACTGATTGTCGGCGCTCGGATCCAAGCGGCCCTTCTTAGAATTTAATTATATTTCTTAGAAATATACAGATAACGTATGGGGGAAGAAACGCAACCCCCTTGATTGTCGGCGCATGCCAAGCGGTGGCCCTTCTTAGAATTTGATTATATTTCTTAGAAATATACAGATAACGTATGAGGAGAAGAAACGCAAACCCCCCCCTTCCCCCGATTGTCGGCAGCCCTTTTGTAATAGATATTGTTTATCTTTTGTTTATAAACATAAACGTATGAAGAGAAGAAACGCAACCCCCCCCCCCCCCCGATTGTCGGCAGCCCTTTGTAATAGATATTGTTTATCTTTTGTTTATAAACATAGATAAGCTTATCTGCTGATAAGACCCCCCCGCCCGCGTGACGTCATACCCCCTCGCCCCCGAAAACCCCCCCGCCCCGCACCCCCCTCAGAGGACCCGGGTTAGAACCCCCCTAGTATTCCTACTACAGTCCTTTTGTGCCATCGTCGGAACTACTAGACGCACGAACAATGATTCTTTGTAAATTCACCGAAAAGTTCGGAAACATTAACAATTCTTTGTGCTACTTCTATGACTATAGTTCTTGTCATTATAATAATGAGAGTGCAATTATTTTTGTATAGCGTGTAACCCTGTATTCTCCCTCGTTTCCTTCCCCTCATTATCTAAAGCCTTTTTTAAGAACAAATTAACACTTTTCCTGTAGCAATAATAGATACAACAGTCTGTTCAACAAACCAAATTTCTAAGTAACGACTATGAAAATTTTCTCCTTGGATAGTTGCGAAATAAGCGTTTTCTAATGGCAATTGCGAATTTGTAACGAAAGATATGACATCTACCTGTCATATATTCTCGGTAATTTTAAATTAATTCCAAATTGATGGCAAAAACTGTGTCGATATAAAATCATGTATAATAAATTTTAAAATTTTATTAATAAGCTGCATCGCACAGATGATAAATAATCGAAGTGTATAAAGATTGTGAACGAAGACATCTGTAAAAGCGACCGTTTTGTTTATTATTGAGAGAAAATGATTTTGACATCTTCTCAAAGTGCAATATCAATTTGCTCTGTTATTATATAATATCTATAATATCAATTTGTTCTGCAAATATATTAACAGACATAATTAGGGATTATAACAAATAATAAAAAATCTAAAAAAATATTTAAATGTACATTTATTATACATTTTTATTTTGTCATCCAAAAAAGCAGGATATGTGAAATTTTTATTTATTTTGCAATATGTTCATGAAATATATATGAACAAATTGCGATAAAAGAAGAATTAATAAAGGAGAGAAAGAATCCAAGTGCAAGTTATATGCGCGTATCAGTACAGAGTAATATGAATTGATTTTCAGTTTTTCACGGTTCCTAGTAAACGCACCGAATAATTTTACTTTTGAAAATTTTATGCTTTTTTTGAAACAATCAGTAGAAAATAAATAAAAAATAATACAAATAGATATTAAAATATGAAATAGTTATAGAGATGTAAAAACATGAGATGCATTACTAATAGATAATTTGGATAGTCTCCGAAATTTACATCCATCGAATTTAACATCAGAAAATACATAATATGAGGTGCGTCATTTGTTGAGCTGTGATTTTTAGAATATTTATAAAAACATGATTTATGAACTATGTCTGATCGGCAACCTAATTTTTATTTTTAGAAGGACGAGAAAAAAAGAAAAAGGAAAAATTTTATGTATAATGTTATTTTATTAAAAAAGTTTATTAAGCATTGACTATTTTTGAAGATAATAAATCATCATCACTGGAAGGAACGTAACATCGTAAAATAAGACATCGATGTTTTCAAAACCTTTAAAAAATAACAAGTCTCTCGCATATATTCTTTAACATAATTGCAAAGTGTTATGTATATAAATAATTGTACAATTATAATACAAATGTACAATTTTACTTTACCGCTCCGTAATTTTCAATTGATAAGGTCATGAGATTGCCAGCAGTTATTTTGCAGGGTGTCATCGTTCTGTTCAAAATTAGAAGAAGGATCTTTCTACATCTTCGAGAAGTATAGTACCATCTTCCTTTGCAACTATAATGCAAAAAGATTCATATTATTTTGAATATAAATAGTAATAAAACTTATATTTTTTTAAGCGTTATGCTTTGCAATGCAAAGAATACAAGAAAATTTTCTGATAATTTAACAAAAAATACTAAATTATGGCGTAACTGTTCGCGCATTACGAAAAAAATTGATTAGAAATGATTTACAATAAATAATTTAAATAGTAAATTCAAAGAAATTCTAACATAGATTTATATGGAATTTCGCTGGAATCCAAAAGAAATTGGACCTGCCAAAATTGTAGAAAGAGATGGATGAATTTGCCCGATATAAACAGACAAAGGTGATGCAACAGCGATCGTATGTAAATTCATTAATATCTGAAAGACAAATTTAACTAATCAAATCGAATTTTATTTTGTCTCTAATTCAATTAGGATTAAATGATTTTAGAGGATGTACTCGTATATGCAATGTTACAATTAAGTTATACTCAAAATTGCTTATGATATATTCCTGTTGTTGCTGCAAAGAAAAATATCATTGTTTATACCTGTATACCGGATATAGTGCTAGAAAGTATCACTGCATAAATAGTGAACAGAAACATATTTGCAAATAAGGACTCGAGCAGTTTGGCAAATCTGCAAAATCACAAATATCAATGTGTTACAAATAATTTACAAGTAATCATGGAAAATACTCATTTGGAGCAAACATTAGTTGTTTAGTTAATAATAAACCATTAGGAAGATAGAAAGAGGGAAAGAAAGAGAAAGAGAAAAGAAGATTAAGCATTTAACATGTACTCTGCTAAATGAAGATGCCTACGTAGGCAGTCCAGTGCGAAGTCATAATTGTCATCATCGATTTTTTTTACTTCCAGACGAAAATTGGCGTCATTATTTTTGCCAATGTTCTCTAGCATGTGTCTAGAAGCGTATTCAAGTGTTGGCACAAGATACTCTTGTTTCAATTTTTTAATATCGAGCCATTATTTGATGTCGAATATCCTTACCCAATAGTCGCGAACATTCCGCAATTTA